CCAAAGTCACATACTATCTTGCCTCTGCTCCCCAAATAATTGAGGCAATCGCGGGGGCTCCACATGACTATAATTTTCCCTTGTAAATCCTAAAGAAAACATGTTATAGCTTTGTTGCCTTCTTCACAGGCTTATACATTTTTGGACCCCAGATCTTAGAAATCAACTTATTTCTTACGGGGGAGATAACTGCTCGAAACAATCAAGCTGCACAAAATTATTTATTGAGGGACTCGTCCTACGCAAATATTTTGTTGGGACCCTATACACATCTGTGACATTTCTGGGAAAGGTGATTGATGAGGGATTTTGACTTTGTGAAGGCCATTCATTATTCAGGGTCACCACAAGGACAAACAGAATTTATATAATTGAAATGCATAAGTCACATTATATTTCTCTTATATACTCCTGGACCAAGGTGACAGCAGAGAAACTATAGGCATATTGATGAATCTGGTCTGTGGCCCATATATGACCCAATTCATCTTTTTTGTAATGCCATGTTAAGGGTTAGGCCCCAAAAATTGTAAAATCAAGAAAACCATCCTCCTTTTGAAAATTATCTGGCAGGTCTTATTTGGGGTTTCGGTGGCAATATATATGATAGCTCATATACACCATGTCCAAATTTTTATGCAAAATTATATTTAAGTGTCAACAAAGATTAAATTAATTTTGTTTTATCAGTTTAACTCATGGGATGGGCATTATGTCTCAGGGCTCCTTTTGATCACTGAAAACAATCTCGGACACCCTCGTGATAATTAGATCCCTGGCACCCGTACGTGAGCCATATTTAAGGAAATATACTAAAGGCAAGGGTGTGTTCCACATTATTAAGCAGAGCACCATTTTCAAGCAATATGGGGAATAAAAAGGATCTCTCTGCTTGTTCTGCGAAAAGAGTGAAATAGTTCAATGCCTTGGTACGAGGTATGAAAAACATTAGATATTTCACGAAAACTTTAAGCGTGATCATTGCACTATTAAGATGATTTGTGGCCTGATTCAGCAGCATCAGATGGGGTTCGTGCAGATAAAAGGTCACTTTGAGGACACATTTCTGCCAAACTCCATGCATCGGATCATGAGAGCAGCTGCTAAAAATACCATTTCATAGCAGACAACAGATATTTGATGCTGCTGGTGCCTCTGGAGGCCACAGACATCATAGGTTTTTGTAGACGTCCTCCAGAGTCTTGCAACTATGTGGCATCATAAACCTTCTGATTCGGCCACCACACTACACCAATGCCACACCCTAACAAGCAGAAAGGCCTGTCTATTGGGCCAGAAAAATACTTGAGAGTGATGAGAAGACTAATTTTCAAACAGTCCTGTTCACTGATGTGAGTTGCCGTGCAAACCATCGGATGGTCCAGATGGATGGGAGTGTAGTGGGATGGTTGGTGGATGGACACCCCTAGTTCCAATAAGGCTGTGTCGTCAGCAAGGCTAGGGGGTTCGGGGAGTCATGTTTTGGGCCGGGAATCATGGGAAACAGAGCTGGTTCGGCCCCTGTTAGGGTATCATCCGAAGGTGTTAAGATGATCTCTGCAAAAGTATGTGGAGTTTTATGGATTGACACTTTCTTCCCTTAGGTACAGAAGGAAGAACTAAGCGTTTCTGTTACTAAAATCATCTCTCATTGCATGACAATGCAACCATCTCATGCTGCAAAAGATACCATCTGCGATCAATGGCTGCTATGGGATATAAAAGGAGGGAGAATAGTCATTGGTGTGGTCTCCATCCTCCCCTGACCTCAATCTATTGAGAACCTTTGGAGCATACCTAAGCAAGGATCTATGAGGTGTTGGGTGGAGGCAGTTTACATCCAAAACAGCAGCTCTGGGAGGCTATTTGACATCTTGCCAATCAAATTACAAGCAGAAACTGTCCAAAAACTCCAAGTTCAATGGTAAAGCAAGACTTGTTGAAGCTGCTATTCAAATTAAGGGGTAATTATGTTAATTTGTAAATTGGTGACCTGTCTCAAATGTTTAAAAACAGTTAAAATGGTTATTAAAAGTTTGATTGAAATGCTTTTGATTTCAGTAAAATATGATGCAAACACAACAAATGGCAATTTTCAGTTCTTTACAACTATAGAGTGTCTTTCAAACTTATGTGATAATAATTTGGAACGTGCATTGTAAGTTTTTTATGTTAAAAAAAATCCTGTTTTCATTAGGTGGTTCTTGTTCAATAAAATTTGAATTGTACTCTTAATAGTTGATTAACATTAGAGCATTAAAACTGGGAATCTAAAAAAAAAAATTAAATAAGGAAAAATAAATTGAGAAGATTAATAAAATTTGGCATAATTATTGGAACAGGTGTACAATTGCTTTGGTCCACAATCAAATTATACATATCTTCCATGAAAAAACAACTAAACAATATCAAAGGAGAGGTGTGAATGTGCTGTTTCCACACGCTGAAAGTGTGTTAGTGATGGGTAGTGAATTGTAGGATGTATCGTTACTATAGAATCTGTGGCTGTCAAGCAGGACTTGCTAAGCACATCTGAAAGGACACTATAGCTATACGGTTCTGTGTGTAGGGGTTCTCCGTGTTGTGGTTTGATATAAGATGTACTTTGGTCATGTGCACAATGGGTCTGGGTACTGCAGTTATGTGTTGACTGTTTCTACAGTATGTTACCAACTTAGCTATGGGTAGCTCCCCCTTTTTTGTTATTTTCTGCCTCAGGTTCTGGATCATGTAAATGCGGGCGCGGGATAAAGGGTGCTATGCCAGCTCCGCGAGAGGTAGTGCGATCATTAGTTCATTGTTTCTGTTAGTCATTAGAATAACCCATTGTTTCATTTCCTTTTAGTTGGGGATCGACGGTCTGGCAAGGGAGTTGTGATATGCATGACCTTTAGCAGGAACCTCTTCTTCCATCGTCTGATTACCCTGTTGGGGAAGTCACTGCTCTTTACCGATGTTAAGTATTCTGACACAGTGAGGAATCCCCTTTGCTCCATCATACTAACATACGCATTATCCACTTAGATCTCTTCACTAGTGTACCTTTCGTTGTTGGACATGTTGCCCACAAACCCCCTTACAGGTACCTAGTGCGGACTCAAAGGAAACTTTAAAGAGCTCCTAGTTGTCAGGGATCGCTTGAACTGCACAAATACTCAATTCTAACTGCTTATGCTAGCCGAGATTCAGGCACTGATCTTCGCCAACTCTGCAGAGTTTGTGTGTTAAATGTATCAGAAGTGACAGTGATCTACTGACACTGCACTTGTTGGGGGGGAGGGGCCTAAACGCAAGTGCTGGCAGTTGTCAGGGCTAATCCTGCACTAACGCTGCATTTTGGAAGGGGACACATGTAACTATGTAGAGATCTTTATTTGAACAGATCATAAATACTGTTCTATTAAATAAACAGTATTTATGATCTGTTCAAACAGATACATGATCTGTTCAGACACTAATACTAGTAATAGTCAGGGCTTGTGTCTGTGATATAGTGATTGCTGGCACTTCAAAGGGTTAAATGTGATTGTTGATAGCGATTGTGGTGGCCAATCTCACGCTATCTGGGAGGGATGATAATGCTATATGACGTCGCCAGTGGCACATTACAGCAATCAGTGAAACCAATCTGTACACTGTACTAAGGACACTGGTGACAGGGCAGTGAAAGTGGTTAAATGGGGGCAATCAGGTTGTTAAGTGTGCCTATCTAGGTGTTTAGTGTAAGGTTGCTGCATTTTACTTTTTCTGTAGATGTGATCTATTCTCTTTCTGCAAAAACCAAAAAGGACTCCAGGTGAGAAGATCACATCATATGTGTTTACAGAACACAGGCACAGGATGATTTTGTGATTCCATAGAACTGATCAGAAGGTCCGTACAGGCCAATGATTTTTGGCCTAGACCTTCTGATCTGTATACTACCGAGTCACTGAGACTGAGATCAGTGCTGTACTGAATCATAACACCGTTGGAATGGTGGGGGCGCTGGATCATAGAAACCTATAGTAACATCCGCAGCACAGGAAGAGTCACTATTGCTCTGACAATATATACACTTATGTATGTTGATATGGCCAGCAAAGTGGTTACAGGGACATTAAATTTGGAGTTTATGCAGTTTGATATTTAGGGATCTATTACTAGCTATTTGTTTAAGCGCAACATATATACTGTATATACACTAAGCCATTTTATTTAGTAAGTATTTTAGTGTTGTATTACATCTTTTTAATGGCATACCCTTTGGGATATTTATATAGGTGGCTAAGGGCAATTAGGGGCCCATAATTTATTTATTAGTGTGAACTATTATAATACACCCACTGTATAAGTTTGGAGAGACTTGTAAGAGGAGATCCAATATTTCATCACAAAAACCCAGTCGTAAGCGCACATTTTCAAGAATGCCACAGTTTATATAAAAATAGTATTCTTGCTTATTACATTAAAAAACAAAATATGTTCCTGGAGTCTCCAACTCCAAATATGTACAGCATCTCGTCCTATAATATAGAATCTTCTCATATTCTGTATGTAACAGAAAAATGTAACCATGATCTTATGTATTAACTAGAGATGAGCGAAGTATTCAAAAAATTCGATTCGACTGATTCGGCGAATTTGTGGACAATATTCGATTTGAGTCGAATATATTCGCAGGTGAATTTAACTTAAAAAAGGGTGTTTCTAGGCTTCAGAGAGAGACTTAATATTAGTGCAGAAACACTGTACCTTTAATTTAAATGCCCTTGGAGTCTGCTGGGCCTATGAGAAATAATACTGTCAGTCAGTATGACATGCAGATGAGTGCCGTCGATCTTAGAATCACGCACTCACTCATACTCATTTGGCCAGTCACGGGGCCTAAAACCAGTGTTTGGAGCCACAGTGTGGCGGTGGTGGAGGCAGCAGCAATGGGAGGCCATACAGTAACCTATGACAAAATGGTAACCAGCAGGAGTGTGAGGAGACCTGAAAGTGGCACATGGCAGAGTGGGAGCAATGGGAGGCGGTACAGGGACCCATGTCACACTGTGGACCCAGCAGCAGCAGTGAGCCAGGCGGTTACGGGGGCCCTTCGGGGCAGATTACAGGCTGGCAGCAGCAATGGGAGGCCCGTAATCTGCCAGCACCCTATGACAAAAAATGGAAACACACCAGCAGTGTGAGGAGACCTGAAAAGTGGCACAGGCAGAGTGTGGCGATGGAGACAGCAGCAATGGGAGGCCGTACAGGGACCCATGAGAGACTGTGAACCTGGCAGCAGCATGAGGAAGGCGGTATAGGGGCCATGGCAGATTAGGGGCCTGGCAGCAAGCTATAGGAGGCCCGTAATCTGCCAGCACCCTATGACAAAAAAAATTGAACACACCATAGCAGTGTGTGAGGAGACCTGAAAAGTGGACACATGGCAGAGTGTGGCGATGGAGACAGCAGCAATGGGAGGCCGTACAGGGACCCATGAGAGACTGTGGACCTGGCAGCAGCATGAGGAGGCGGTATAGGGGCCCATGGCAGATTAGGGGCCTGGCAGCAGCTATGGGAGGCCCGTAATCTGCCAGCACCCTATGTCAAAAAATGGAAACACACCAGCAGTGTGAGGAGACCTGAAAGTGGCACATGGCAGAGTGTGGCGATGGAGACAGCAGCAATGGGAGGCCGTACAGGGACCCATGAGAGACTCTGGACCTGGCAGCAGCATGAGGAGGCGGTATACAGGGGCCCATGGCAGATTAAGGGCCTGGCAGCAGCTAATGGGAGGCCCGTAATCTGCCAGCACCTTATGTCAAAAAATTGGAACCCCACACCAGCAGTGTTTGTGAGGAGACCTGAAAGTGGCACATGGCATGAGAGTGTGCGACCTGGCAGCAGCAATGAGGAGGCGGTACAGGGGCCCATGGCAGATTACGGGCCTGGCAGCAGCAATGGGAGGCCCGTATCTGCCCAGCACAGATTATGGACAAAATGGAACCCAATGGGAGGCTGGGGCAGGCAGAACCCCGTATGACACGGTTTTCCCATGGCCACCGAATGGCAGCGACGCTGCATATGCTGATAGTGGGGCGCTGTAGTAAGACCATGGGCATGGGCCCCCTGGCCACGCTTGACTTTCTGGCCACAGCAGCAACATACGGCTACGTTTACTTCAGGCGGCTTGAGGTGGACGAAAAATTGCCACACCGTGTAGGAAACTTTGGCCCCCGCTACTCCTCACTGGCTGACTGCTACTTCCTCCGTGGCACACCGGCAGCTACTGGCGTGGTGGTAGGCTGCAGTGGAAAGCGTGCAAAATGTGCTCTACTCCGTGGCCGTTTGCCTCCAGTGACACTGCTGCGACCCTGCTGCCTCCTGGCAGCAGCAATGGAGAGGCCGTACAGGGGACCCATGACACACTCTGGGACCTGGCAGCAGCTAATGAAGAGGCGGTACAGGGGCCCATGGCAGATTACGGGGCCTGGCAGCAGCAATGGGAGGCCCGTATCTGCCAGCACCCTATGACAAATTTGAAAAAATGGAAACACCAGCAGTGTGTGAGGAGACCTGAAAGTGGCAATGTTTGGGGCATGATTCATGGCGGATTTAGTCAGTTGTGTCAGGAACTGGTGGTTTGAAATCCAGACTAATCCACGCCTGATTCATTTTCACAAACGTGAGTCTCTCCACACTTTGGGTGGGACAGTCGTGTCCTCCGCGGAGTTACAATACCTCCTGCCGCACTAAACACGCGCTCCGATGCCACGCTACTGGCCGGGCATGACAGCCTTTCAAGGGCAAATTCAGCTAGTTGGGGCCAAAGGTCAAGTTTCGTTGCCCAGTAGTCAAGGGGATTGTCTACCTCGGTTGGCAGGGTGCTGTCCAAGTAGGCCCAAGCCTGTTGTTTGAGGTCCTGCTCCAGGTCCACCTGATGCTGCTGCTGCTGCTGCGGCTGGTTAGTAGTTTCCTCACTGCGCTGGTGAAGAAAGCTACTCATCATCGACTGCAGACTGAGGCAGCCGCTGCTGGTGGAGCTGCCACTGCTCCTACCACCCCACCCCTCCCCTGCTGCCATGGCAGCGGAACGCGAGCGCACAGGGCCCACAGTGTCTGAGGATGGACGTTGGCGCAGAAAGGCAGAGACCAACTGACTACATAGGTGGTTTTTATAGTACGTTTTTTGGCCTCCCTCTCAGCAGGTGTGAAAAAGGCCACCATTTTTGAACGGTAGCGAGGGTCCAACAAGGTGGACAGCCAAAAGTCATCCCTCTGTCTGATGGTTATTATTCGGCTGTCGCTACGCAAGCAACCGAGCATGCTATGGGCCATTTGTGCCAAGGAATGCGAGGGACTCCCTGCCTCCATCTCCACAGCATTACTGCCACGGTGCGTCTGGGTCCTCTGTCTCCTCCTCCTCCTCCCTCTACCAGATGCTCCTGCTCCTCCACTCCTGTCCGCTGAGTGGAAAAAACCACCCATTTCACTCAATAATTCCTGAGCACAAATGTCCTCCTCTACCTCCTCCTCTTCTTCCTGTCCTGCCCCCACAGGGGTCATGTGGCGTTGAGATCTGTGCGCCACGTCTACCGCACCCTGACCAGCCATTGTTAACAGCATTTGTTCCAGGACGTGCAACAGAGGAATGACGTCGTTCATCCCATAGTCCTGCCGACTCACGAATAGCGTGGCCTCCTCAAAGGGCCTGAGCAAGCGGCAGGTGTCACGCATGAGCTGCCAATGGCTGACATCGAAGTTACTACACAGGGGAGTACCTTTATCCGCTTGTAACATCAGGAAATCGGTGATGGCCTTTCGCTGTTCGTAAAGGCGGTCTAACATGTGTGTAGGGTTGAATTCCACCTTGTTGCAACGTCGCAGATCAGGCGATGCTGTGGAATTCTGTTCTGCCGCTGCAGCTCAAGGAGGGTGTGCTTTGTGGTGTAGGAATGGCTGAAATGCATGCAAAGTTTACGTGACATTTTAAGGATGTCTTGCAGTGGGATGGTGGATTTTAGGAACCGCTTGACAAACCAGATTGAAACACGTGAGCCATGCATGGCGCATGGCACAACCTTACTTGACGCAGAGCAGACACCATGTTCTTTCCGTTGTCGGTCAACATGGTTCCGATTTTCAGTTTGCGCGGAGACAGCCATCTGTCGATTTCTCTGTTCATTACACTGAAGAAGTTCCTCCCCTGTGTGACTACATTCGCCTGGACTGGCAGCAGCATGAGGAGGCGGTTATAGGGGCCCATGGCAGATTAGGGGCCTGGCAGCAGCTATGGGAGGCCCGTAATCTGCCAGCAACCCTATGTCAAAAAATGGAACACACCAGCAGTGTGAGGAGACCTGAAAGTGGCCACATGGCCATGAGAGACACTGTGGACCTGGCAGCAGCATGAGGAGGCGGTATTAGGGGCCCATGGCAGATTAGGGGCCTGGCAGCAGCTATGGGAGGCCCGTAATCTGCCAGCACCCTATGACAAAAAAATGGAACACACCAGCAGTGTGTGAGGAGACCTGAAAGTGGCACATGGCAGAGTGTGGCGATGGAGACAAACCACCGACTGTTTTGCTCGCTGCCAAGCTGCCACCCCTTCTTCTGATGATGCGGAAGCAATAGCATCTGATGACGACGAGGCTGCCAAGTGCGATCAGCCTCATCATCATCAATTAGGGTCTCCGCCTCACTACTAGCCCCCTCGGCTGCGTGTGGGTCAGGAGACAGACCTGTCTCTCTAGACCGGCTACCGAGCCACTCTCCTCGCCACTACTTCTTCGCCTGGCTGCTGAAGAGGCGGATGGATGTCTCCCCCGTTCCTGACCGCCCTCTGTTAGCTCTTCCACTCCTGTACTGGATGACACCGGGAGCACTAGCCTCTGGCTGCGAATAGTGCTGCCTCGACCCTTCCGTTTTCTGCTGCCAAGTCTGCTCGCTCCTAAAACATTGCCTCCTCTGCCACTCTCTGCATGTTGTCTGACATACTCTTTCCCAAGTTAAAACGATTCTGTGTCCCTGAGTAACAATTCTGTGTCCCTGAGTAACAATTCTGTGGCCCTAAGTAACAGTTCTGTGGCCCTCAGTAACAATTCTGTGTCCCCTCAGTAACAATTCTGTGTCCCTCAGTAACAATTCTGTGTCCCTCAGTAACAATTCTGTGTCCCCTGAGTAACAATTCTGTGTCTGTCCCTGAGTAACAATTCTGTGTCTGTCCCTGAGTAACAATTCTGTGTCCCTGAGTAACGTTTCTGTGGCCCATAACAGTAACAATCTGTCTGTGGTCCCTCAGTAACAATTCTGTGTCCCTCAGTAACAATTCTGTGTGTCCCCTCAGTAACAATTCTGTGTCCCTCAGTAACAATTCTGTGTCAATGTCCCTGCAGTAACAATTCTGTGTCTGTCCCTGAGTAACAATTCTGTGTCTGTCCCTGAGTAACAATTCTGTGGTCACCCTGAGTAATGTTTCTGTGGCCCTAAGTAACAGTTCTGTGGTCCTCAGTAACAATTCTGTCTGTCCTGAGTAACAATTCTGTGTCTGTCCCTCAGTAACAATTCTGTGGTCCCCTGAGTAACAATTCTGTGTCTGTCCCTGAGTCAAACAATTCTGTGTCTGTCCCCTGAGTTGCCAATTCTGTGGCCCTAAGTAACGGTTCTGTGGCCCTCAGTTAACAATTCTGTGTCCCTGAGTAACGTTTCTCTGTGGCCCTAAGTAACGGTTCTGTGGCCCTCAGTAAACAATTCTGTGTCCCTGAGTAACAATTCTGTTCTGTCCTCTGAGTAACAATTCTGTGCCCTCAGTAACTGTTCTGAGTGTCCCTCAGTAACAATTCTGTGTCTTCCCTGAGTAACAATTCTGTGGCCCTAAGTAACGGTTCTGTGGCCCTCAGTAAACAATTCTGTGTCCCTGAGTAACGTTTCTGTGGCCCTAAGTAACGGTTCTGTGGCCCTCAGTAACAATTCTGTGTCTCCCTGATGAGTAACAATTCTGTGTCTGTCCCTGAGTAACAATTCTGTGGGCCCTAAGTAACGGTTCTGTGCCCTCAGTAACAATTCTGTGTCCCCTGAGTAACAATTCTGTGGCCCTAAGTAACAATTCTGTGGCCCTCAGTAACAATTCTGTGTCCCTGAGTAACAATTCTGTGGTCTGTGTGGCCCCCTCAAGTAACAATTCTGTGTCTGTGGCCCTAAGTAACGGTTCTGTGTCCTGTCCCTCAGTAACAATTCTGTGTCCCCTGAGTAACAATTCTGTGGCCCTAAGTACAATTTCTGTGGCCCTCAGTAACAATTCTGTGTCTGAGTAACAATTCTGTGTCTGTCCCTGAGTAACAATTCTGTGGCCCTAAGTAACGGTTCTGTGGCCCTCAGTAACAATTCTGTGTCCCTCTCAGTAACAATTCTGTGTCATGTTGTCCTGAGTAACAATTCTGTGGCCCTAAGTAAACGGTTCTGTGGCCTCTCAGTAACAATTCTGTGTCCCTGAGTAACGTTTCTGTGGCCCTAAGTAACATTCTGTGGCCCTCAGTAACAATTCTGTGG